ACTTGGCGGCTGATGAACTATTTCCATGATCCTCTGTGTATTTGAAACTAGTCCTGTGTGTCTTATGTATGCCGTTTTGTGTGTCAGTCAGCAAGCAGGGGTATGATGAAATAAGAAGTCGGCCAATATTGTTTACATGGACACCCTAGTTCTGAGGGTTTCGTAAAGACGTTCGCTGTACTCATAAATCTCTTTTTGTCTCAGGATGGACCTCACTTGGTTCTTTTCCAACGATCAAACTTTCAAAAAGGAGTGGAGGTAAGGTGTCAGGCATCATCAAATACTTTGCTGACTCATAGTCATCTGGTTCATCTGAATTAGTACCCAAGTTCGACTCTCAATGAACTCCGAATAGGTCGACTATAATGAAGGTAATTAGGTCTAACCATTACTGACTTAAAATATTTTACATCCCCCACACCCCTCCTTCCATTTCTTAAGGAAGGCGAAAGCGCCGAAACGTAAATGGATTAAGTGTCGATCTGAGCCGCATGCGGCGAACCTTTATTAGTTGTCTCGCGGCTTCGAATTGCTGCAGGTACTTATTTTGACCGCCTCCCCTTCGATCATTTTTCAAAGACATTATACATGTTATCGTGTATTAAATCCGCAGGGTTGATGTGTATTTGAAGATGTTGAAAAGAAATATAGAAATTTCGCTCATAATTACTTCTGAAAATTCTAAATTTTGCGCATACGCTTTCATAAATCTAATAAGCAACAATGGTATTCACTATAAAAAAGAATTTCGATATGATCAACATGCGAAAATGTAGTGAGAGAAGAAAAGCGGTGCCAGCAAGTGCTAGAATGAGCTAGAAACCATAGTCATAGTTACAGTTCACGGAACACAGTCGAGAGACGAGTTGTTGTATGTTGAATCCTCAAATTGTTTTTTGGAAGAATGATATTCTTTATTCGACCGATTCCAAGTACGCTGTCGAAAACTTCACGATAGGGAGCACTGAAAAAAAGGAGTTAGTCGTTCTATTGTAATGATGTAAAGTAGTTATAGAGTAGAATGTAGTAGGTCACACAAAGGTGTCCAAATTTTAGCGCTTATCATAGAACAGTAGATGCTGTAAGGGGAAGGGGGGGGGGCATTTTCGTCATTCAGAATGGATCAATGTTGCAACTATTCTGAAACTTATTTTTAGTCAGTGATATTGCAGTGGAGGTAGAGATCTGCAAAAGGATAGAAAAAGAAAGCGTTCACAGTGCCGCGTGCAAACATCCATTTCTTACGTAGGCTGCGCACATTAACTCAGCTGCGCATGTCTGCAGGTCTCCATCAATGAACACTACTTCAGGAGCGATCGTTGAAGGTGGACCGACTCTGAGAAGATAGTAAAACATTTCAGGCACACTAGAGCGAGGGGAAGTGCAGCACTTTAGAGAATGGATAGGAGGGGGCTGTCTGGTCACATAGAAAGAATCCTTACTACAATTGAATGCTAGGGTAAGCTGCGAATAAGGCTGTAAAAACTGTATTTTTCGGAAAAAAAATTGCAGCCTATTTCTGTAATAAATGAAAATTTGCTTTATAGATTCTAGAAAAGAAAGAAAAGTTGCTCGATAAAGGAAACGAAGGGCACTGACCTCAACCAGTAGTAAGCAAAAAAATTGACCGATGTCCCAAAACTCATACAGAGTCCGGCTAGTTGTATCGGAAATACTGAAGGATTGGTAAGATCATCTGTCATTGCAATGGCCATCGCGCCGAAATATCCGAAAATGATTGAGATAGTGATTACAAATAGCGAACGATAAACGTTCTTCATGCTTTCGGTACCTGAATACAAAGTGATGCGTTTACAAAATTGATTTTGATATGTAATGTTTATTAATTCTTTTAATTCCTTTGGAGATCATCGCGAGCAGATGATACGGAAAGAAATTTAAGGGAACAATGCTCCTGTACAAGAATTCGGACAAACACGGGCTCCTGCCTTTACGGCACCCTCTTTCCGCACCAAAGGTTCGATAAAGCAATGAAGGGTTCCCGAGAAAACTTTCTTCACATTTGATATGCCAGAGCTTTTCCTTTTCCATACACCATCAGATCTTAAGCTCAGCACTGCGAGCCCCGCCGGTGTATTTCTAATAATATTCGCTTGTTTTGAAGTCTTGAATAAAATTCTACGGAGAAGGTGCCTCTCACACTTGCCTGCTTGGAGTGCCGCAATCCTCTGCTTACATTCCACAACTGTTTTTCGATTACCTTATGCCGCAGCTGCCCAGCCTTCTATTTATTCACGTCGCCGATGTACTTCTAATCATATTCTCTATCTCTGATCTTCTCGGTCCCTAGTAAATGTAGTCCAATGATCCACTGGACTACATTTACTAGGAACCGAGGCGATCAGAGATGTTTTTGGTACCCGTCTAACGAAAGTCGATGATTCACGGATCATAGGTTATATAGTAGTTCGTAAAGGTGATGGAAAAGGCATAAGTTCTTGTTCAAAATGGCACCATCACCTTACTCTTACATTTCAGAACTGGAAACAAGTGAAATGAAAAGGATATAAAAGAGGTTCAAAACATACTCATCCGCAATTTTCGTATGAGAATTCCAAACAAACTGTAGCAAATGATCAATAATACGCATAAGGTGGTGCCAATCTGGGCACAAATTCCAACTAGTGGTGGACGTAGTGGCGCAGCCATTGTGCAGATGACGTTTCTACAAATAAAAATGGGTAGTTCACTGTTTATTCATTCAAAAAATGAGCCAATGATAACTTACATGTCAGCTACCCGCATGAGAAATGCCATTACAGTTATACCACCTCCATAAATGCACCCTGGCAGAAGTTGCACAGTTATATACATTTTGGTATAATACTTGGTCAGAACATTGCTGAAAACAACCGACTTAAGACGTCCTTTTTGTCAGCGTTTTTGTACCTTCCACCAAATGTGCTATGCATCAGCAGCAATCTTTCTCGGCGTTCAGGAGGTACAGAGATAAACAAGAAAGGAAAAGTATTGCAGGAAACTTACTAAGAAGTTGTCAGCGATAGAAGTCTGTCTATAGCCAAGTTGAGAAGGAGCATGAATGAAAAAGACTGGCCAAAGGTAGGAACTATATGAAGATAAACGCAAATATCTTGCGGGATGTGATGGTCATCATACCTGAAATGTTCAACTAAGTCTAGAGGAATCAGTTATTGAAGTAATTGCCTGCATTATAGTATAATACTACGATTTTGTGGGGAATGTGTTCATGATCATCCAGAAAATCCGCGTGTAATGTTTTCAAACAGATATAAGGCTTCGGTGAAGTTTTACAAAAAGGACCTGCCAAAATACATAAGTAAAGGGATAATGACAAACATTGAAGACTTACATGTTGTACGTAGCAGCACTTATGAAGAAAGAAAACATAAACATAACGTCTCCCAGAGCGACTGATGCAATAAAAATGTTGCAGGGATTCCGTAACTTCCTGAAGAAGAATATTCAGAGTAGATTTTTACGCCTCATTCTTTGACACCAAACATGACACTAACTTGTCGCATCGTCCCGAACAGAGAGGTCGACTAACAATAAGGCTTTTTTAATTGTTAAAATTTGCACTCAAAAAGAACGACATGAGTTTACGTCGCATGCAAATTTTTGCGATTCCCCTCTGACTCAAAGTTCGTTAAAGTCCTCAGGCATGATGAGCCTCTAGCGAAAACTTGCAGCTAGAACGAGTAGAGCGAACCAAATGTCTTCATTGATAGGAGAAGCCGCTGCCAGAAATGAGGCTCGTGCCCATGCGCTTATTTCTCTCACACTTTACCTACGACAAATTTCGGGTGGATTGACCGGCAGTCATCAATGAGAACATAAATGATGCAGCAGATTTTGATGCTCATCAGGAGGCAAAACTTCTCAAAAAGTAATACACTGAGCGGCTGCTTTCATAGTCCACGATTTGGCCGGTTACCGGTCGCAGCGACCGATCGCGGGCCAAATCGTGGACTATGAAGGCGGCCAGTAAAACACAACTAAATACATTACTCTATTTCTAGTGCTCTAGTCTATCTCATTGACCAAATTCGCTTCACTGAGTATTGCTATAGTGAGGTTTATGCGGGAAACTACCTTACTCATACTCATTGGTTCACTAATCTACCCATCCTTCATAGTTCTCCATTAGCACCTTGTTGGTATTCATTCATATCTTTTCTAATATTCTCATATTAGTAATTGTCATATGTTGGCTCTTAATCTTCATTATTACCCCTGAATACGTTACCAACACTCATGTAATGGATATCTCTCAATCACTGAGGAGCCTTGTGTGATGGCTTCATTGGTTCGTGTGATTCAGAGACGAAACGAACAAATATTGTTTCCTCTATTGTACAGAAATTATGATGTATCCTCCCTATTATCTGTAGCAGACTTCGGGTGGTTTGGCCGACAATTGCCAATGAAAATAATTATAAATGGTGCAGCAGAATTTGATGCATGCTGGGAAGCAGAGAACCCCAAATCCACAGATTATGTACATCATTCTCAATCATTCCTGTACTACATTATTCTGCGGACTTTTGCAACAAGGTTTGAATTCTCTAACCACTGATAGATATTCCTGTTGTCCTTCAGTCCAAATCGAATTTTCAGTCAGATTTTTTTCAAAGTTCAGTGATCTGAGCTCGATAGAAAACAAATTATTGTATACCTGAAAGCTTAGAATCAGCACTGACTAACCTCGATACCACTGTCGCGTATACGATAAGTGTATTTCCAACTAGACTTATCGTTGGGACTACAACATAAATAACTTGGAGAAGAGTTGGAGCTTGGTTTGGATACATCACAAAGAAGTCGTTTCTGGAAATTTCTCCATGTTTGTTTTTGTTTTTAAAAAGCTGTTCACGTTAAGAAAAATTTGCTATATCACATCTGTACAGATGAAAAAGCTAAATCGTTCTATAAAGAACTAAACTTATAAAAACTTATAAATTCACGGAAGACTTCATTATCTCGTGCTTGCAATCCACGCGGTCGGCTAATCAATGAGTCAAGTTTTGGAATTCTTGCATTTCGATTAGAAGAGCAAAATCATATACTTACTGATTCCCTGAACCACCATATCCTTCGAAAAAGAGGTAGCCCGTGGGTTACTCTTTGCCTTATATGGCCTTTACTTCACATTTCTGTTTCCCCTGCACTGTATGGTGAAATGTAGAATGCAAAAAGGAAAAAAACTGTGTGCATCTCGAAACCATGAAGGCAGTGACCGTAATCGTAAGCCCGAGTTGATAGGAATCATGCAATTTTTTGTGAAGATTTTTTTCAGGTTCGCAGCAAATACGAAAAATAATAAGACTTCATTGGTAGAAGAGTGATGATTGACAAGTGGAATTGACGTTCCTGCGAGGACTCTACATAGAAGTATGCAGGCTGGTACTCTGAGGTGAAAAAAGACTTAATGAGGCTCAAGCTTACTTAATTATGCAGTACAATACTCTGGTTAGCTGTTTCTTAATTGGAGTTACTATACTTTTGATTCCATTGGGAAGGCAGGTGGATGGTATGAATTTGTATGATATCAGTATAGGGCACATCAAAATATATGGGTACCAGTCAAAAGATTTGAAGTATTCTCATGAATGGGACTACAGCCTCTTTGAAAGATCGGAATGTTTTTATATGATGAAAAACTCAAGTACAAAGCCATCTTAGACCAATGTTTTCAAAGCACGCATTAACTAACCAATCACCATATTACAGTGTTACTTTCGAAATATGGCGCTACATTCTTCTTGAAAACTGGGAAGACAAACAAGTTGCATTCCAGACAAAAGGTCCAACAACGTTTTTGTAGGAGCTGATTCTATAGAACAATAACAGTACGTAGTGTTGTATGATCCTCAACAAGTAACAAAAAGTAAACATTCCTTGGAAGAGCACTTACATTTGCTCGAGTTTTATCAGGGAACTGTAAATTTCACAAGGAATTAAATTTCCCATACCTGAATTGTGTGGTGCTACGCGTTTGATGATCGCTCATTCGGGATTTGGGTGAAAGTCTGTTCTGTTGTCATTCAAACTTGACTCTCGACACGATCTGAACGTCGCTGCAGCAAAGTTACTCATATGTTACTCGGCCGCCAGGATATGAGCGACGCGACCAGTATAATAATTTCGTGTGTATTCGCCTGCCTTTTGGTTGTTCCATTTACTTTCTGATTGCTGAATTTCAAGACCATTTCAAAAGTCCAACCTATAAGATGTTGCTTTCGAATCCATTCAGTGTAAGTATGTAGGGAGTGTTNTATTAGCGGCCCAGAGCCTCGCCTTCGACCAAGGATGTGTCTGTCGCTGTCCTGCAAAGCTTCTGTAGTGGCAGTGCCGACGTGATTGTTTCACACGCATTTAAAATTTGCAATTCTTCAGCTCAATCTTGTTAGCCGATAGTGGATATTTGCTTGATCCTCTGTATTTTTGAAGCAAACACTGTGTGTCTGTGTTTGTATGTCGTACCGTCGTCTGATTCGACAATCCCCGTCCCTCGTCGCTCTCTAACTGTATGGTCGCCTTCATAGTCCACGATTTGGCGAGCGACCAGTCGCGCGATCAGTCGCTCGCCAAATTGTAGACTATGAAAGCAGCCTATGAGACAGCATTGGGACGCCAACTATGATACGGGGGTCAAGGGGGCGGGGCCACCAAGAAGCGTGGTCCCCAGTCTACCGTAAACGACTTCAAGGGCAGACGTTGATTTGAACCTTAGTCATTCAAACTTTCCAATTTAACCTTATTGCATTTACATTTAATACAGTTTTACTCGTGCCTTTAATTGCTTTGCTGTACTATACATATAAACTAAACACACATACCACTGAACCACACGCACATGTCGTTCTGTGTGTCAGTCAGCAGGAAGTTAAGTAGGCGTGGTGAGGAGGGTGAAATGTCACGTGAGCGTAGGGAAGAAGGTATGATGAAAAAGGAAGTCGGCCAGCTCTGCTTATACTAACACCCTAATTAGGATCACTTTGTGATGCCGTTATCCCCTTTTTTGCAACGAGATGAGCATCACTTGGTTATTTTTCAGGGCAATCAAGCCTCCAAAAAAGAGGGGAAGCACGGTGAGAAGATCTTTACCCTAGCATCGGTTGCATCATGCATCAGGAATCATCAAACTTTCTGATGAATTATAGTCAACTGGCACATCTCGAATTAGTGCCCAAGTTCGACTCTCAGTGAACCCCGCATAGGCCGAATGTGAGTGAATCCAGTGTAGAACTCACAACTTTGCCGACTGTTCCTCATACAGCTCTGATGTGCAATTTTAAGTGGTTAAAATCAGGCGGAATTTTGAATGTACATGTAAAATATATTCACGATGGCTACGCACTTCGAAGAACCTTCTGCTATGGTACTCCTTCTTTAATGTGATTTCCAGAAATGAGGCCTAACCGGAGCTTTGGGTGGAGCTGTAGAGTGGCGGAACTTCTCTCCCAATGCCCGAGTTCGCTGGACCGCATGCGGCGATCCTTTATTAATTGTCTAGTGGCTTCAAACTGCATTTATCTTATTTGGTCCTCCTCTCCTTGAATTACTCGTCAAAGATGTTACACATGTCTTCGTATATTAGATGATGGTGGCATTGTGTTTCAGATGGCATCCGTAGAAATCTACTGTACCGAGACCGTGAGCTGCAGGCTGTCGCCACAGGTAATCGTGCTTATTTTAGAACGTACGATAGAAACTTTGCTCCGAATCTTTTTCAAAACTCAAAATCCTACGCGTATGCTCTCATAAATCTGACCAGCAGAAATGGTGTTTTCTAAAGGAAGTTCAAATGGAACAACGTACGGAACAATAGTGGCGCTCCAAAGTATTCGGTTGAACGCATCCACGCTTTTTCGTTCATAACTTTTTTCTTGGAACAAATCGCGCGAAATTCTGATATGTTTAACCAAAGCATATTTCACACTATCCAACACTACTTTACAGCAAAGCACCAATATCCGCATAACTGAAAGCAATACTTGTTGCGGTACTAGAGGGAAAGTTATTGACGTCTACAGTAATCGCACGTTATGTACCTTTTTCTTCACTAGTGTGTTTGGCATTAGCGCTCGTTCACTTTAGACATGACAGAGAGAAAAGAAGTTCCAGAAGGACATCATTTGCATTTTCAGTTGATTTTGAGTTCTTTGGGATATCTGGAACGCGATCAGATTGCCGGTTAATAGTAGTATATATTCACAATACACCTATGCTATACATATTGAAATTTCGCATGATTAGATCCAGTAGGAAAGAAGTTACGACTGAAAAATACAATTGAAGAAGCATTTCGCCGAATACTTTTGAGCGCTACTGTATACTCGAGAGAGGAACAGCGATGCTTGTGAATGCTAGGATGAGCTAGAAAACATAGCCATAGTTACACTATACGGAACGCCGTCGAGAGACGATTTGATGCCTGTTGAACCCTTGAATTGTTCTTTGAATGAATGATATTCTTTATTCGACCGATTCCAAGTACGCTGTCAAAAACTTCACGATACTGAGCGCTGAAAAAAAGATTAAATCGTTATAGTCATAATGATGGTAAATATTTGTCGGGTAAAATGTAGTAGGCCACGCAAAGACTTAAGAATTTCAACAGGTATTATTTATACATAGGACTATAGTCGCTGTAAAGGGGAGGGGAAGGATTTTCGTCATTGAGAATGGACCAAAGTTGCAACTATTGTGAAACTTATTTCTTGCCCGGGGGTGCGGTGGAGGTAAGGACCTACAAAAGTTATAGGAAAAGAAAGCCTTCACAGTGCGGTGTATATAACATTTCATGCGTAGGGGTTGATCCAGCTGCGCATGTCCGCAGTGGGAAGAAGGATGTCGTCCTGTGTATTATAGTTGAAAATGGGTCTCTACATAAAGGAAAATGTCCTCGAAGTTAACATTACTTCCCTGAGCGTTGGTTGAAGGTGTCTCAAATCTGGGAAGATAGCAAAATAATTCAGGCACACTATAGTGAGGGGAGGTACAATTTTAGAAAATGGTTAGGAGGACTGTAAACACATAGATTTGGTCACATAAAAAGAAATCTTTATAGAATTGAATGTTAGGGCGAGCTATGAATGTGACGGCAAGAGGTGTATTTTTTTCAGAACGACGCGCCTTTTTCTTGTCATAAAAGCAGTTCTCAAGGAAATGAATAAAAGGTACCAACCTTAACCAGTAGTAGGCAAAAAAATTAACCGAGGTTCCGAAACTCATAAAGAGTCCGGTTAGTTGTATATGAAAGATTGACGGATTATTGAAATCATCCGTCATTGCGACGCCCATTGCGCAGAAATTCCCGAAAACAATTGAGGCGGTGATTACAACCAGCGATCGATAAACAGCCCTCATGCTTTCGGTATCTGAAAGCGGACTGTCGTATCTATTAAATCAGAAGAAAGTTATTCTACCCCTTCCTCCTTCGTTTTCATTTAGCCATCGAAAGCAGATGACGATTACTTAGAGAAATTCAAAAGAACAATGCTTTTTTTTTAGGGAAACTCGGCGGAGACGAACTCTAGTCTCACCCATCTTCCGCATCACAGACTGATGAAAGTTTTCAAAAAAACTTTCTTCGCATTTGGTATGCCTGGACTTGTCCTCCGTAAATCCCGCCAGATCTTGACTTCAGTTGCGATCCTATGTTCTTTGATGGCTTAACTTAAGTCTGAGACATTTAGGGGGCGCGCGATTCACGCGTGACCCCATTAGAGCTCTTCCCGCACGCAGCATTGTTTCAGTACCTTTCTGTTGAGATGGACCAAATAAATTTGCAGTAGTCCACGGCTTC